GGTTGAAGTGTTCTGGAACAGTGTTGTAAATACAACTTAACCACTGATTTCTAGTCGTGTCCTCTTTTGGAAGACCAAACAAAGTAGTTTCGCTTTCACAACGAAACACACAGCGTCTTCCCAACATGGCGGCGGCAGCAACAATACTACAGCGAGAATAAAAGTTACGCCTTCTTTCTTTGCGTGAACATTTTGGCGGCGTTATGCAAATCTTCCCACATAGTGAGGTAGATATGTGGGGGTGTGTTAGAACGAGCCGTTTTAGGTAGGCGTGGCTGACTCTTAACTTTTATAAAGAATATCTCTTTGGATTTGAGACTTTAGTCTTTGCAACTTTACAGATCTTCTTTATGCACCAAGAGCTTGTAACACTCCAAAGAGAAAGGAACATTTAAAATCGCATCATATGACCCCTTTAAAGTTACACATTGTTATGATGCTTCATTAATATTAGAAGGTAGCTGTTAGTAAGCAGTTAGTCAGACAGCTCACAATGTTTTGAAACAGAAGGTGTTCATAGTGCTTGCGGCATTTGATGTGTACTTTTTGCCTTGCAGACTTGTGAAGGCTATCATAAAGTTTTGTACTTTTAAAATGTATTCATTTAGTACTGCCATTAAGCAGGTTCTCTTTCGCAAAACAGTTGAGCAGTTGACCTATGTAGCAAATTTTTTACCATTTCTGATAAGTTTTTGCCATTTACTATGGAAATTCATCCACCATCTGTCTGCTTGTGTGCATTTTACTTTATTGGTTGTGTGTTTTAGATGTTTAGAACACTGTAATGATGTATGTGCATGAAAATAATGTTAGGCTATAACCTCATAATGACTCCAGGTGACATTTTACAAGCACTTACATGAGAATGCTGTTACATACATGAAATGTGCCGTAAAATCCTCCTGAATATACACCATGACCATTGATATATGCTAATGTTCGAAACACTCTGTTTGCTATTTTGCAAACAATGAATAATAAAGCAGATTGCAAAGGCAGCATTATAAAGACGTCTTCTGAGATGTAGCTCTTGCCAGTTTTTCCCATCAGCATTTTGTTTACTGATAATATTATGAACGTTCTAAATATTAACTTATTGTGTCTGAGACTATTAATTAAAGTTTCTGAGAAGCAACTTTTATAGATTGTTTGGAGTCTTACACATCTTAAACTGCTCGCTGTGCAGACGACGAGCATCAATATTTCAATTAGAGTTTCCTATTCTCTAAATAATGCGATTTACGCTCATTGTCATTTTGTGCTACAAACATTCGTTTGAAAAATTCTGCAACTGCAACATCCTCAGCTATTAAACTATCTAATGTGATTTGTTGATTCCATCAGTCATGAGTGCTGTTTGGATCACAAACACTCGGGGAGGGGTTCACGCTAGACCCCTCAACTCCTGGACTCCAGAGTGAGACAAAGTGCTTTCATTAATTTCATTTGTTTCTGTAAAAGAGGATTATAGCGTGACCTTTCTGTGAAGCTGGACCAGCATCATCATTCGCACTCATTATACAAGAATTCAATGGGATTGAACCCGGCACCTGCCTCCTAAGGGGGCAATTAGGCAGTGAATGAATTCTTGGCAACTTTGTAAACTTGCACTGCATGGCTGTGGCACAAAAGTGTAAGGAAAGAGTGGAAAATGGTTTCCCTGGGCACCACGCTTGTTTCGATCATAAGAAGGCAAATTCATAGATACTAGACATGAAATAGTTACTTATATGAATGAGTGGTTTATCGTAAGCATGAATAAAAATAGTCTATAATACAACAGATTAAATACAACACAGCAATAATATAGACACTGGCCTGAAGAAAATGGGTGTTCATTCAAAGAAGGTTTTCCTATGAATTAATTAGTAGAAAAGTCCATTTCTCCTGTGCATTTGTGTCCCTTTGTTTCTGGAGAAAGCAGAATGAGAGCCGGCTCGCATTCCACAAGGTTGTAAATGTATCGGGTTACCATGAAACCAGGGTCTTGTTCGGCGTCCTGGGGTGTTACAAAGTATTTGTGAAATCTAGCTAACAAAATATATATTGTGTGTTGGAGTGTTCCAGACGCTACATGTCCTCTTTTGGAAGGCCAAACAAAGTAGTTTCGCTTTCACAACGAAACACATGGCGTCTTCCCAACATGGCGGCGGCAGCAACAATACTACAGCGAGAATAAAAGTTACGCCTTCTTTCTTTGCGTGAACATTTTGGCGGCGTTATGCAAATCTTCCCACATAGTGAGGTAGATATGTGGGGGCGTGTTAGAACGAGCCATTTTAGGAGGGCGTGGATGAGTCTTAACTTTTATAAAGAATATCTCTTTGGTTTTGAGACTTTAGTCTTTGCAACTTCAGGGATCTTATCTATGCACAATCAGCTTGTAACACTCCAAAGAGAAAGGAAAACTTGAAATCACATCATATGACCCTTTTAATAATACTAAAATAATACTGTATCCGGTATCTTGGACATATTTTTTTTACTGTGTTTGCTGCAGAGCATTATGGGATTACCTCCTCTGCAAGGGATTCATGTGTTTATAATAAACAATTAATAAATATTACTAAGTAAACAATAACAAAATGTATTAATGAATATTTCTTGCCATTTCTGAGAACATACATACATATCAAGATGTGTAGTGAGTGTTGTCAAAAGGTTGAAAAATAAACAGAGTAATAACAACCAATTAAAAAATAACTGAATAAATGGGGGGGGGAAAACACAAACTAAAATTAAAATAAAAACGGAATATTTACAAAATAAAAATTCTAAATATTAATTAAAACTATAATAGTATCGAAATAATACTAAAATAACACTGATAAGAAAAGACTCGCTCTGTTTCTCATCCACAGCGTAGAGTCGTCTGACCTGAACTGGAAGAAAAAGAAAAGCGGAGGCATCAAGATCATCTGTCAGTCGGAGACGAGGGATTTCTCAGCGATGGCTTTCATCACCGATCACGTTAACGCCCTCATAGAGCAGTGGTTTCCTGGTGAGGACGCCTCTAGATGTTGTTCTCAAACGCTATAGATCTCTGATATATTAAATCTCGTGCACAGATCTATACGGTAGCCTGGATATAATACAGACATTCCCAGTGAATGCATGAGCTGATCAAATGTTTACCTTCAGTGCAGTTAAGAGTACTCTTCCATGCACCATGAGCTGTTTCCATTGCAACTTGCAGCCTTGTGCATTTTTTGGACATTTAAACGGGTTCAAATGGGGAACATAGAGTCTTAATTATCTGTTTTTATAGTAATATTATTTTAACAATGACTAGACGGGACCTGTAGTAGTTATTCCAGTTGGAAGCAGTATTGAAAAACAGTACTAGACTAAGAAGATAAAACATGAGCGTCTTGATGCAAAACAGAAGTACCAACATCCCTTGTGGACATAAGACGGAAGTCCAACAGAAAACAAAACCGTGTCATCAATAGTGTCATGATGAAGGTGTCAACGTGATGATATCTTGACAAACATCCTAAACCCATAACCGTAGGTTGTTAATATGGACGTGCAGCTGTTTGTTGTTAATGTTGCACTGTGGGAGTTTGCTGTGCATCAGTGCAGAGCCGCTTTACAGTATTAACACGCTGTCAGTCAGCAACACAGGTGCAGCACAAACACCAAGCACACACTGAACTGTATAGATGCGATCATGAGTCAGACTGTAGTTTTTGCAGCAGCAGTGATTGATTCATTAGTCCACATAAAGCCTGTTAATTACAGCACACACCTGCTACCCAGCAGCACTTCACATTTGACACTGTCTGTGGGTAAACAAACTCACTGCTGTGTGAGATTATTAACACATGCATGTGATGCTGAGTGTGTGTGTGTGTGTGTGTGTGTGTGTGTGTGAGTTTCAATCTAGATATTTTTCAGCCTTCTAACAACGCTGATACACTTGAGATATATGTATTTTCTCAGAAAGGGCTTAAATAATTTTTTTATTGATTTATATTTAGTTGATTTTTCATTATTTATATTCCATTATTATTATTATTATAGATTTATTTTTCAGCCTTTTGACAAAACTGAATATACAGCTCAATATGTAAGTATATTGCTGTATTTGGGGATTATTTATTTATTTATTTTTAATTTATTATTATTAGTAGTAGTATTATAGATGGCTTAAACGGGTGATTTGTTTATTATTACTTTATTTATAGTGATCGTTTATAATTATAATTATTGTTATTATTGATTTTTTTTAGTCTTTTAACAAAACAAAATACATCTTTATATTTATGTTTTGTTCAGAAATTACATAAAAGGGTGATTTTATTTATTTTTCATTCGGATATTTATTATTATTATTATTTATTTATTTATTTTTAAGCCTTATGACAACATTTAATATACATCTTGATATTTATATATTTGTTCAGATATGGCTTAAAAGGGTGTTTTTATTATTATTTAATATGATTAATTTTGTTAATTTTTTATTTTAATTGGCTATTTATTATTTATTTATTATCATGTATTATTATTATTATCATTATTAGTTTATTTTTCAGCCTTTTGACAACACTGAGTATACATCTTGATGTCTTTACTCAGAGTAATATTTATTTATCAATTGTTTGTTTAGCATTTTTATTTTGTTTTATTTCAGCCAAGCAGTCACTGTAGCCATTGTGGATTCAGTTCATTTTAATAATAATAATTTCTCCTGAGCCGTTTTCATTAAGCCATGAATAATGTCTTTTTATATAAGCATGAACACCATATGTTCATGATGATTTCTCCTTGTCCAGCGCTGACGGGCAGTGAGAGCGATGGCTCTCGTCTCATAGAGCAGTACGCGCCCTGTCCGTACTGCAGCTCCGGACCCCGAGTGTCCGACCCGCTGCCTCTGTCCCGCTCCAGTCAGTGCACCGTCCACTACTTCAACATGGAGGACTGCGTGCTGGCAGCCGTGGACAAGGAGCACATCAGCTGCCCCAACCACCCCAAACAGCCCGTCCCGCTACAGGAGCTGGTGCCCGAGCTCTTCATGACCGACTTCCCTTCACGGTATGATAACAGTTAAATTTTTAACCAGCTTTTGACCTTTGTTTTTTACATTGTCATACCAGTTTCTGTATGAAATGGTGTATAAAGTGTCAAAAACCACAAAACAAAACAAAATCACAGATCAAATCCATTGCCAATAAATGCAGATGCAAGTGCTGTTGTTTTCCCACCAAAATGATGTCACTTCCTGAAAGGTGATGTCATTGAGGAACTAGTTTTTGTTCGTTAGCAGGATGGAAAGTGATATCGAGGACGCAGGAACAACTTATAAATTGATTAACAGTTAGAGTAGATGTTTATGTTAAATGTTTAGATTTTAGTAAGAAACTGAGGAAAGAGCTGAAAGATTTCAGTTCCAATTAAAAAGAAAAAAAACACCTTTATTTCATCCTACCAGTTTCTAGATCAAATGGTTTAATGTGACACAAGCCAGCTAAAAACCACAAAACATCACAGGATTCATCAAATTCAAATCTAATATCAGTGTTGCCATTTCCTGGAGGAACAGCCTGTAAATGGATAAAAAATTAGACTACATGTTTTGATAAATGTTTCTGGAATATTTCTTAGTAAATTGCCTGTGTTTTGGTAATAGAATAAAAGTAATTGTATCTTTTGGTTTGCATCCATCTAGTTACAAATAAAAAGAAAAAAAACTTAAATTAATTTGTATTTAATGCATTTAATTGACAGTTCTTTAATAATATATACACCTTTTTTCCATTGAAGTACCAGCAAAAATATTTATTTTTGTTTATTATTATATTATATTATAATGTATGTCTATATCTATCAATCTATGTATGTGTGTGTGTGTATATATATATATATATATATATATATATATATAGTATAAAATGTATAAATAGGTATTAAATTTAAACTTTAATAATTAAACTAAACAAATTCAAATGTAATATATTGTAGCCTTAGTGAGCATAAGAGACTTCTTTCAAAAAACCCAACCCAAACATTTGAACAATACGTATTATACATATATACTATACTATATATATATCCAGTATATGTGCTGCACTGAGTATCTGCTAACATGTAGCATCAGAGGCGGACTTAACCATTAGGCAAAGGTAGGTGACCGCCTTGGGCCCCCAAAAGCCAAGGGCCCCCTAAAATACTTTTTATATGCGCGAAGCGT